ATCGTTATAATATTATATATATATACACATACAATATTATAACGATTAATCCTCAAAATAAATTAAAATGAGAATTTATTTTTTAATTAAACGCACATTGCGTGCTTCAGAATATATTATTTATCAAACGTCTGCAATTATTCATGCCGAAACAATAACGATGCACTCGGATATCACAAAGTAAACTAAATTTTTTCGGATGATATATAATAATATATGATATATATGTACTACAAAATGCAAGAACAATTCTTAACATACTTGTAATAAAATCACGTTTGCATCTACTTTTATATGTAGTCGGTACTCGAGTGTGAAATTTCGTCTAATAAAGATACACCGAACGAGTGCAATGTTTGACATGCAATCTGCTCGTCCGACGTTTCCTATGAATCGTACATTCGCGAACCATATGACGCTTAGAACGAAAAAGGATTGCAAATGATCCATCTGCGTGAGCGAATGGAGTTGCGTGACGCATTGTATTCGCGCTACGCGGATTCTTCGCGACGCGACGCGTCCCTGCCCCTGCAATGCTTGATTTTTCCATATTTTTTTTCCCCCTCGATCCACTACTCTCCCGTCCCTCTCCGCCATGCGAGCGACCATGAATACGAGATGCGGCACCTGGATACATCTAGTTCTCGCGCGTGGCGGCATTCCGGCCCTCTCATCAATTTTTGAGAACCCGCGCTCGAACGATATGTATGCACCGCCACCCCGACGCCGATAACCGATATGGAAACCACGTTCCGGTCGACCGACGCAAACCAACGGCCGGCCACCACGGAAAATCATACGCCGTCCTGCAACGCGCGTGAATAGTGATGAGAAATCGCAGCCAAGTACTCACGCCGAAAGCCGATTGGACGACCACACGATGCCCGCACGTGATCCTGAGATCTTCGATTCAGCGCCGTTATTCCGAGAGAGAGGTGTATGGTTGGACAACGAATATTCTTAACACGAAGCTATATGCATCGGCGCGGAAATACGCCGCGATTGGAACATCGATTTTTGGAAAGTCGACTATTTACAATGCTGGAGGGAAGGAGAAAGGCGTGTCAGAAATTTTTCATCGCTTAAGGAGATCTTGCAGCAATTTGCAAAAACGCGCAATTACATAACTGCCAACTTCCATAACATTCAATCGCGAGAATAGTTTTTACGAGCGTTCTAAAAAAATCCACAGGTTAGATGGGACTTTAAATTCGAAACTTTTTAAGCGGAAAAGGAAAGAAACTGGCTGGGAACGTCGCAGAAAAGGGAGAAAAAGAGAGAGAGAGAGAGAGAAAAAGAGAAAGAAAGACGAGAAGAAAGTTCGCGTACGCGAGCCGAGACTTTTTCCAATTACAAACGGCGCCATTCGCGAGCTGGTCGGCGGCGATTATTTTTGAAACAAGAATATTCCTCTCCGCCCCGGGACATAATGAGGAAGCGGGAGGCACGGTCGGAGGGCGCGATAATGGCGGCCGTTATGAAGAAATCAACCCACCCCGGCGCGCAGCCACCCCCGTCTCACCCCGCCAGGCGAGCCACGCTGGTAACCCACTTGATCTTCCGTTTCCATAGCGACCGCCTTGTCCAACGAACCCCCGCCGACTCGGACCGGCGGGGGTGGCAGTGGCGATGGTAGTGGTGGTGGTTGCGAGCCTTCTCTCTTATTATGAGAGTTGCTCCACCCGAGCGGAAGGGTTGGGATGCCGCTCTCTTTCTCTCTCCTCTTTTTGGCCCCCTTCAGCTGCCGAGCACTTTCAGAACGCACATTTAATGATAACTCGATAAGTCGAAAGCAGGAGGCGTTAAAAACGGACAAAGTTATGTGAGACCCTTAAACGCTGATGTCCTTTATTCGCAGTTTGCACTTATTGTCAGCTTTAAAAGAATTTTAGAAATATAAAATTTTTTCGAGACTTTAGGTACATCGAACCGATTTTTCTCTTATAAGAGACTAATTGTAAATACTTTGTATTAACGTAGAAATAAAGAAATATTCTTTTCGTTCGCGTAATTCAATAAGAAAGACACCAAGTACATATTTATTTATCACACGTATTATAAAATATAAAAATGTAATAATTTTAATATCTATTGTGCGAATATGCAAGAAATAAATAGCTTTAACAAATACCGGCGTAATCAAAGAATAAGAAATGTACATTTCATCGGCCAATCATATTTCTGCGAAGCGGACAACAGCGCTTTTCTCTCCCCTCTTTCTTTTCCGATTACTACCCACGAACTTTATTTCGTGCACGATAATATTTTCGCATGAAGTAATTACACTTTCTTTCGAGGCATTTCCGGGAATCTGCGTCAGCCTCCGAAGCAGTCTCCGATATTTGGGCGTCTTGAATGCCATGCGGACATCGTGTGCATCGAATGCATTTTTCCTAGGATTAAAACACTTCAATTAGAGCGGGGCCATTTGGATAAATTGACACTAATTTTCAATTTTCTTTCTTTGATTGTTAAATCGTCACTCTAAACAAAGCATAAACATTCAAAAGTCTCTTTTTATCGCATCAAGCAAACAATATAACATTGCAATTAATAATGCATGCGATAAGTCTTAATATTATGCAAAAAATGCCTCGCTATCCAAATTGCCTCACCCTACATATTATATAATGAATGCCCGACAAATTAAATCAATCCATGCGATAATCAAATGCACTTCTCAATCTCGCGAAAGAAACTGATAGATTTCGAAATAACTGCCGTCAGTAAGAAGGGAGTTAGCAGAAGGGTGCTGCAATTGCGCCCTAGCCAGATGATAGACGGTGATGCATACGGGGTGTCGCAAATAAACGAGGCGCGTATAGACGAAGGAGATAGAAGAGAGGATGGTCGCGCACGCGGGAGAGAAGAATGATTTGAAATTGATGAGTCCGTCGCGACTTGGAAGAGTTGGGGGTCGCGTGCCACACCTCGAATGCATAAAAAACCTCCACGACCCCTTTTTTATCGCGTTTTAACCCCCAAACCGCCCCTCCGTGCGCGTTGTTTTGTTGCGCATGATGGCGCACCAGAATGATGCACACATTCGTGAATCAGATCCATCAAGAAGATAAATTAAGAAGCTAAATCGTTAGACAATTAAATTTCTATCTCGGACTTGAACGACCACCTTCCGTTGATCGACGCAGTCGAAATCGACGTCTCAAAAAATTGAGCCATTTCGGTAAAATTTTCCGCGAAAAATTGCGACGGCAACAATAATCGATTCGCGTGCGGCGCACTATTTCACACGTACCTTACTCTTTTACCGTCTTTTCGTTCAAATTACCGTGATAGTACGCAGACACGTCCACGGGGCAGTGCCGGTTTCGTTACACGTACGTTGGAGAACGAGGGGCCATTAACAGGGACGCGTATACCAACATGTCGCCCATGGGGGTGGTTTTCCATGGACCCGAAAGGGGAGTACGGACTGTATTCCGCGCAGAGAAAGGGAGAGAGAAAGTGCTTCACGCGGCGAAGTAATGTAGCCGACCTATTCCTCCGAGAAAAACTCCTCGGCTAGGAACAATCGAGTTGTTCAACGACAAGGACGACGAAATATTCGAAGCATCGAGAATGGCAAAAGAAGATCGTTCGAGCAAAAAATCGATTCCGCGATAGATTTATTCGCGAGATGAGAAATTTCGCTCAGCCATCATCGTGATGACATCATCGTGATTCTTTTTTTTATTCTCATTTTTAGTCCCATTAAATATGTCAAAAATTTTGATTTCTTTCTTCAATTTTATATTTATTTAAATAAACGAAGAAAACGAGTATATTATACTTGAAACACTAATTCAAGTTTTTTGAGATTATATACACCACGCTACTAATCTCCGTCTGTCATGCAGACTCAAGACGATTCGACGTCACGGTATTCTGATAGCAGCTGTAAAACGCCGTAAATTGTGGCAGATTGTGATTAACGAGTTTTAAATTAGATCTCGCATACGATAGTACGCTAATATCGAAAGTGCGATGCCGCGTCTGTACTAACATGCCGGTGTGTCTGCTTCTGTCTTCTTTAAAGAATATTCGTCTTATTCAAAAAATCTACTCAATAACGTGGTGGTGACACAAATGTTCACATATTTATATATATAAAGTCGGTCTTAACATAATCATCAACGTACTTGTCAAATACATAGAATGAAATTATAATAATTAAAGAAAATTAATTAAGCATCCGAAATAGAAATGAAAAATTAATCGATGTGATAAACTAGAACGTCAAGCAATAAAACAATGTCTCCGTCATCGACAAATATCCTGCGTTTCATCGACTTTCGCTGAACGACGATGTTGCATTGATCTCACAATCGGATGAATCGATCGATTCGTGTTCGAACGATTTTAATTAATGGACATGGCGTGTCGATTAAATGGACGATCCGCGCGGATGAAATATTCATCGAATGCAAAACACATGACGCGTGTATAAACCACCTTAAAAAAAAATAATAGCGACGGAAATTTGCTTTAATTGGCACAATAGCCAACCCGCGCTGGCGCGGTGCGGGGGGTAAGCTCCCGTATATACAATCCTGACAATTAAGCGCGACATGCGGGAGATCCTGTGTGCGTATACAAGCCTATCTCGCGACTCCGGCCGCTGCTGCTGCTCATAATTACGCGGTAATTAGAGAGGTTTGTCGGCAATTAACATCTTGAATATCATCGCGTCGCCGCGCGATATCGGCCGGTATCGCCGCCGTTTCTCTTTGATCTGCCGGATACTCGCTCTGGCGCCGTTTCTCCCGAGGACAAAGGTTTTTAACCCTCCCTGCCTCTTCTGTAGATCTCGTATCAAGGCAGATTCTTTCGAGTCTACTTTGTACAGCGCAGTTACAGAAATAATTCACACTGTTATGATTAATGTGTCATAATTAATTTAGCTTTTAGCTCGATCCTTGGCTTATTATTATCATCATCATTGGAACTGTGTATTTATTTAAATAAAAATATATTTATCTTCCGAGCAATTTTTCTTTATTCACTCTCTTATTTTAGAATAATGAGTATTCAGTCATTCTCTCTCTCTCTCTCTGTCTCTCTCTCATTGATCAAGCTTTAAGACACACAGTTCGGTTTAAAATAAAATTTAGAATAATAAAAATATTGTGTAATATTTATCTTTAGTTTAAGTAGAACATACAACTAAATAGACGACATTTAGATATCTCACAAACAAAAGTTGTTCGCGTACATCATTGATTCTCAAAGCCGATGCCCGTAACTCGCTCGAGCACCTCCTTCTCTCGCTTGAGGCACATAGGCAGGAGGATATCTCAAAGTTTCCGATCCAGAAGAGCCTTATGTCTCGGTCGTTAATTGTTCCATCGACCGGAAATCCGCGCGCGTGGAAGCTCGCCCCTTACCCTCCCCCGCTTCGTCTCGCGCGCGCGCGTGCGGCAACAAAGGAAATCGAATATCCCGTCGTCGTTTCTCTCGCCTGTCTCTCCCCTTTTCCACCCGCGTCTCGTCTATTTCTCGCCCCATTCCTCCCCAATCCCCGACCGAGATATAATTTCCCGGGGCAAGAAGTTTCTAATGACGGAAAATCTAATATATATCGCTTCGAGAGCCGGCGGTTCCGCCGGCGTTCTCTCCACGAGCAGCTTTTCTTGTAATTAAGTTATAACTAAGGGCGAGCGTGGGCGTAGCACGACGGAGATGGTTCTTTCGGGGGTGGCCGGAAACCTGGATTGGGGTAGGGAGAGTGGCGGAGTGTGTTTCGCTCTCCTCGCAAGAGTGGAAAACAATAAGAAGGGCTCGCGCTAATCCGCACCGTACATTACATCCGCCGAGAGTTTCTGTTTCTGGCGCCAACCGGAAGCTGTATGGCGTGTACGACTCTGCCTCGAAAAACGGAATTCTGTGATGTGTGTATCGTGTAAGGGAGTTTGTGGTACCTTCCGTATTGTCTTCGGCGAAATTAAGGTTTTGCTACAATATCCGCGCAGTGGGAAAGAATAACGAGTATAATTAAGAAGAGCCTGGAAAAACGGGCAGTTTAGAAAACTGTAATTCCAAAAAAGCCACGTGTTGCCACCATGACAAATTACAGTGCGAATACCACAACTGTAGCGTGGTTTGCGACACCGCGGGGTGTAAAGCGACGGCGAGCCCTACAGTGAAAAGAGGGACGTAAGGGAGTGATGGTCCATTCTTGAATTCCATCACGGCCGGATACGTATCGTGCGGTTCTTATCGTGCGTTCTTCCCAAACAACATCGACATCGTGTGATCGCACATAATGATATGTAATGAGATACGCGTACGTGCAGTGCGAGATACTTGTTTCCTACTACGGTGAAAATATCCGAGAGGAAAAGAAAGTCATTATGTAATGAAGACTAATTTTTTCATGGGAACTTTTATTCAGACATCGTGTGCTTGCATTCGCGCCGATTAAACGATTCGTTCGCCACGAACAATCGCGATTCAACCGAGATATCTCGTTAAATTTAATAATATTATATATAATGTTTGCTTTATAATGTATTAATTATTTAGTTGCAAATATACATGTATATATCTCAAGTAAAAATTTGTTATCATTTAATATTAACGATTAAAATATTTCATAAATGCTTTCCAATATTTCAAGAAAAAAGAAAGAATTTAAAATGTACAGTTTATTGTAAAAGTCTCCATTGCCTATATATGAAAAAATTATCATCGTATTAATTTCCATTGGTCGATAGCATAACACATCGGTACATAACATCTCGCGATAATACCGAGGAAATATCGCTGGAAAAACGGAAGGGCGAAATAGAGGTTCGCGAGAGCAGAGGAATGGGAAGAGGGATAGAGCCGCGAATGGAATTGGTCGATAATTATCGTAGCGTGCAAATATCGATAATAACCCGACGTGAAAGAGGAAAACGGGAGGAGGGCGAAGGGTAAGACGCTACATAACATCTCGCGATAATACCGAAGAAATATCGCTGGAAAAACGGAAGGGCGAAATAGAGGTTCGCGAGAGCAGAGGAATGGGAAGAGGGATAGAGCCGCGAATGGAATTGGTCGATAATTATCGTAGCGTGCAAATATCGATAATAACCCGACGTGAAAGAGGAAAACGGGAGGAGGGCGAAGGGTGGGCTGGGCTCTCTGCGCCTGGAAAGGAACAACTCAATTGCGCGAAATCGAGTTAGGTACTAGCGCGCCGGCGGGGATGTAATTAATTAATTCGAGAACGCCATCTTGCTACTGACGGCCGAACGGAGAAATATTATTTTCCGAGTGCGGGACGCTTGGCGGAGCGGAAAGGCAGGCAGAAAATTAAGCGGTCCCAGGTACCTCTTAATCCGTATCTTTGCAGAAAATTGCTCGCCATAATTCATTCTTTTCGCGACGATGACATTAGATTCTCGATATG